AAAAAATTAAAAAATATATAATTAATAAAGCCAACCATATTAACTACTTGAAAGATTTTGTGACAAAGAGAGTATTCAAATCACACAACAAATTGAAGTGATAACTACCTCGCAATGTCCTTGTTTGACAATCAGCAGTTAACGGTTAGCGTTAGCGGATTTGATCAGCGAATTTATTTAATTATTAACATAGGGTAGAAAAAATGACCGGCCAAATTATTAAATCAAATGAATGGTTCATATTGTTCAGGTTTTAATTTTTTTCTTTTAAGATTTTCTAATTTATCCTTATTTATATGATTATCCATTTAACTTTTCCGTTAATTCACCGTTAGTCTAATTCTAATATTAAAGTCTAATATAGAATTATAACTACACCAATAATCTAATTCTAATATTAAAGTATTAATAGAACTTAACCACAAATCCTAATGTCGGAATCTCCTCAAACAATATTAGTATATATTTAATATTTTATGCCCTAATTTTTATTTGTTCTCCCTTATGTCCCGTATTTGGTTTCAACTATACCTATACAATTATTTTATTGACAATTATAATCAATCTTGACTATATTATCTTGCATTTGTAAACTTAGAATTACCTATTCAACTCGCACGGGCTTAGCTCAATGGTTTAGTGGGTAGTATTTGGGAGAAGAGACCAAGGTTTGAACCTCAGCGGCGGCAGTGCGGGAATTATGTCCAAAGTGGACAGATTCCTTGTGCGTATCAGCATTTGGCCCTGTCTGCTGAACCATTAAGTCACCGTGATTTACAACTTCCCACAATGCTCTGTCGGGTCGGAGTGTGGGGGGCCCTTGGGGTTGGGGACTCAACCTTTGGGAGAATAATTACCTATTTAAATACGCAAATTCAACCTTCAATTATCTATGCATGAACAATTTCAATATAATCCTGCCTTAATATACTTTAAAGTACTTATTTAACAAAAAAGCATTGAGCATTATCCTAATCGCGCAATGCGCGTAAAAAACTAGTATATATATAAGTGCGTTCAGGTGTGAACTGTCCGTCCAAGAGTGAAATGAGGACGCATGCCATCCGTCCACGTGTCCAGATATAACAGATGAGAAATGCTGATTTTTTTTTTAAATACAGTGATATTTTCGTAAATAATTGAACATCGAAGTGCAAGTAAAATCATGGACAGTCAAAGGGGGGGGGGGGGGGAGCAAGGGGGCAGCTGCCCCCCCCCCCTCTTCACCCACCCCACCCCACCCCATATATAATTTTGTATGTATATATGTATATATAGTACAAATTTTAGTATTAGTATAAAAAAATTATTAAATATTAATAAGAAATGAGTTGGATTAGTTGGCAAAGCACATGTTTAGTAATAATAAAGGTTAAGTGTTTGAAACCTAGTATTAACATAGTTTTACAGTTTCTTATAATGTGTTTTATTTTTCGCTCATATCCAACAATATTTACAACTATATTTCTTAGGTAATTTGTTTGTTTTTTAAATTATCTCTTTTGTTTTAATATTTCGTCTTTACTGGAAAAAATTTCTGAATCTGTCTGTACTTCTTCGCCCCCCCCCCCCCTCAACCGAATTTCTGGCTCCGTCCCTGAGAAAAATGTATTACAAGTGCAAGTAGCAGTTATAGTGCAGCTAAGTGCAAGTAAATGTATTACAAGTGCATGTAAAATGTATTACAGATGCAAGTAAAATTTACACTGAGCATCAATACTAAGTGCACCTAACGTTATAAGTAGTTGCAACTAGATGCACGAATGTTAACCAAGTAAAATCACTTGCACTTGTAAGTGAAAATAGGTGCAATATTACGTGATTTTACTTACACTTTTAGCTTGCAAATGTGCACCATCTACTTACACTTATAACACATTTACTTGCACCAAAGTTCGAGTTATTTACAAAATACCACTACGTCATTTTTTAAAAATTATATCTGATTCGTTGATCTGGACACGTGGGCGGCTGTCATGCGCTCTTGATTCCTCTTTTGGGCGCTGGTTCACATTAGGTCGTGCCCACACACACACACACACATATTTATTTATTTATTTATTTATTTATTATAATTATAATAATTATTCGAGAACGGAGCGGGACGGGGAGGACTATTCCGTCCCCGTCTCCAATGGAAAATTACATATATTTTTTGTCTCCGTTTTTGTCTCCATTCTTCTTCTTCTTCAAAAAAAAAAAAAATTCAATCCCATTTTTGTTTAAAGCAAGGATAAAAAATTTTCGTCGTCTCCATTCTTCAAAAAAAAATAAATAAATAAAAAATTCAATCCCATTTTTGTTAAAGCAAGGATCAAAAATTTTCGTCAAGAACGGGATAAATTGCCATCCGTCAAAACTTCATATGAATTAGTCCAACATGAAACTGACTCCATATATATTTTAGACCTTTCTTCTCTGTCCCCATTCTACACGTTCGGGCTGTAGAGAGCTGCCACTAAATTCCCATGTTTTGTTTCTTCCTGGCTAAGCATTCGTTTGATCTTTATTAAAAATATAATAATAATTAAAGTTGATCGAGGTAATTCAATTTAAAAAACTAAAAATAAATGCATTCATTTTGGACCACTAGCCCTCCGTCATAAACTTTATAAACAGTTTACACTTTATAGTGATAACTATTAACTTTACTTAACATCTGTCCTAATTTGTATTACCCCACACTTATCCTAATTTGACTAGAGAAAATCTGTTTTTAGTAATCATTTAGCGTAGATTGTTCGATATTTTTTCATCAATTAAATGTATTATCTATTTGTAGTTACTTTCTTAACCTATTGAAGCACAAAGAGTTAATACTATTTTCACTATGATCAACTCCGTAACCTCTTATTCGGGACAGCCACTTCGTACCACTAGACCATCTATAAAGTCATTAGCAGATTTACTTCTTTTTAATTCAAAGAATTATTTTTTTTTTGAAACAAAAGAATCAAAATTTTAATTGACTCAAAAAGAACTAAATTTCTTGTTTCTAAATTGTACTCTGTAATAACTAAATTGAAGCTTTTTAGTTAATGAATTAATCGAAATTTTTTAGTCAAATTTAAAACTCCTTGAAATTTATAAATAAAAAATATTTAATAATTTCACACCACAAAATAAATATTATTTTAATATATAAGTGATTAAAAAATTTAAAAACTAGTATAATAATATTATTTATGATTTATAAAAAAAAAATTAAAACATATATATGTATACACAATTCAGTTAAGTGACCAATTTAAACCAAAGTATAACTGTTATCCAAAAATTTTAAAAATCTTTAACCATTGATTAAATCAATATATTTCCATTAAAAACAGTTAGCAAACAGTTATTGGATGGTTCAGTCAGTAGTTAATCAAAGTTTCATTGATTTGTGCACACTCCAAGGTAAATATTAGAGGGAATTTTATAATTACTACTCTCTTAATTATATTGAACGTTTATGTCCTTAATTATAAACTAATAAACATGGAGCTGATGAATTGAATGGGAAAAAACAGTGGGTTAACATTAATGCAATGTTCAGTAATTTCAACGGAGCAAATAATACTGTCTACAAGATAACAATACACTACAAAAGCATATAATATAGTGCCTATGGAAGACAACAACTTACCTAAGTGCTTAAAAATGTAAATAAAGTCTTGAAAGGAGTGGTTAAATGAGTGAAATTTAATTTTCGTACTCAAAAGTCATAAATTTGATTTTTATTAAAATTTTTATAGAATTTCGACTGGAGCAGTCGAGAGCAAACCAACACATCAAGAAAATCAAACTTTAAACACTGCATAAATTTAAAAGAGCAACCCTGACATTCAAATCTTCATAAATAGGAAATGAACACAAAATACAAGACAAATAACATTAACTTCATAATCGCTAGGTCACACTAATATTTCTCTGATTCCTTTTTCCCTTATCCCTATTGATGAGTGGGCGAATACTTGAGCCAAGTCCAAGCATCTGCCCTATTATCCTATCTAATCAACTATCTTCCTCTTATATATAGTTTGTGAATTATTGCATAAAAATAAAGTTTTTAGTATGCACGATGTCAAATAATAACTGTGAGTTTTCTAAAGAGTACATGTTAATTAAGCGGGACAAATATTGTAGACTTAGAGCATCCACTATAGAGGATTATTCCAAGTTATTTCAGAATGAATTCTTCCAAAACAAGAAGTAAGGGGTCGTTTGGTTCACGGAATGTCAGATTACCTAGGGAATGTTAGATTGCTGGGAATGTTAGATTGCTGGGAATCTTAGATTCCTGTGTTTGGTTAAAATTGATGTATGTAATATAATCATGTTTGGTTTAAGGTTATCTTTTATACACACACTATAAACCAACATAACCAAGGTTATCTTAGATAACCTAAGAAATTGAAGGGAATCACATTCCCTTCAAAATCCTATGTGGAGGGAATGTGACATTCCTTGGGAATGTTAGATTCCCTAAGATAATATGAACCAAACATAAGAATGTGAGCTTTGGAATGTCACATTCCCTTGGTTATGTTATATAACCTGAACCAAACGCCCCCTAAAGGTAATGTAGAAAGGAAATAATTGAAAAAAAATTCTTCTGCAAATTATAGAATAATGTTAGAACTAAAAGAAAAAAAGAAAACTGATAAAGAATGATCTTATAGAGTAGTATCACAATTTACTTGTTTGAATGATTGTTATCATATTCCTATAAGAAAAGATTGAAGTGATGTTACAGTGAACATATATTGATGATTTAATTTGTCCCTCATGTTTTTATAATTTTAGAGCCAAACTGGGCCCCACTATGCTAGTGCCAACTGACTCAAAAGTTGTTGTGTAAAGACAAAACTACCCCCGGTGGACCACCACCATGATATGCGTAATCGCCCTTAAATACTGCCCTCTACCACTCCGTTCCCTCCCTTTCCCTCTCCGATCTTCCTCCCCGCCCACTAGCTAAATTTCCGGTCATGCTGTCCACTTTTCCGGCGACCAACATGTCCTTTGACCCCTTTTTGTCAAACCCATTACCGCCTTTCGAAGGCGGTTTCACTTCCTGGGATTTCCCGGAATCCGCCTTTGATGATTTCCCTCAACCGGTTCTTTCACCCGTTCAAGAACCAGAACCGGTTATTTCAAACTCTGGTTCTGAGTCTGATAACTCAAACTCGAACCCGACCCCGGCCCCGGCTAACTCAAACTCCGGTTCCGACGAACCAAGCCGGAAGAGAGCCAGACCCATCTCCGAGTCCGGTATGGACGACCCGAACCAGGACGAGCGCAAGCGCAGGCGCATGATCTCGAACCGCGAGTCGGCCCGGCGGTCGCGTATGCGAAAACAAAAACACCTGGAGAACTTGAGGAACCAAGTGAACCGGCTGCGAGTAGAGAACCGTGAACTAATGAACCGGTTCCGGTTTGTCTCCCACCACTCCCACCTCGTCCAGTCCGACAACGAACGCCTCCGCGCCGAGTCGACGCTGCTCCGGCAGAGACTCTGGGACATTCGACAGGTCCTCCTCGTCCGACAACTCCAGCACCAGCTCTCTCTCTCTGCATGGGGATTCAATAATAACAACCACAACAACAACGTCGAACAAAGGCCACAATCATTAATTACCAGATGACCACCAATTAATAATCATCATATCATATCATTAAAAATATCTATCAGATCAGATCACTGCTTAAAACACAAGCATTTATATTATATTATTATATATGCCATTTATCTAAGATCAGAGAACTCATTAACCGTTCTCTTTGCCGTCGTCGTCCCCTGTAGATTCAATACACCAAACATCCTAGCTAGCTCGATCTTCCCAGGTTGATTTTTAAACCAGGACAATCTTTTCTTTTCTTTTTTTTTTTTTGGGGTTTTCTCAGAGTCTCAAGATAAATCAGAGCCGTTGATCACTAGTATGTAAAGATGCGTCTATATCTGCAGTTTGGTTTTGTGATTAGTACTACTAGTCTACTACTAGCATATAATGATAATAATAACGTTTTTTTCTCCTTTTGTTTTTTCTTTTGTCGTTTTAACGTTATATTTCGTAACGGTCCCTGTATATATGCTTTCATTATTCTCTTCTTCTCCCAAATGCTTTTCATTATTCTCGTCAAAAGAGCTCTTACTATCATTATTTCCTACGTTACTACACAGTTAACGATTCGTTAGTACGCCGTTTACGCTCCCTAGTTTCTAACTTTCTATTTGCTAACCTTCCGTCCGTGCACGTCTGCCATTCGATCAACCCTTATATAATTTCAAACCCTTTTTAACTCAACCTTATAACTACAGTTTCACATTTTATGACTCTAGTCATCAAAGAACTACAATAAAGTAAACTAAATGTAACTTATCAGTTATCAGTTCAAATCAAAAATTTTAACAGATCACTTTGACGGAGGATTGAACATAGAATTTTATAATTACCAAGTCAATAATCTAATTAACTTGGTTAGAGTTACTCTAAGAACGAATTATTTGTAATTACGTCTCCCGGGATGTGATATAACATGTAAATAATATTTACTATATTTAATTAATTATCATTATGCATGACGTATAGAGGAAAATGAAATGTATTAATGTATAATGTAAAAGAAAACTAAACAAGGACGGCGAATTTGTTCCTTCCGATGTAGAACAAGCAAGCACAGATATGATACCCAACTTTTTCTTTTGAGCACTTGGGTGGTTTGGGATCAAGTACGAAACAAGATGGCAACTTTAATGTAAAAAAATATATATTGTGAAATGTATATATCAATTATTAATTTTGTGAAAAATATAAAAATGTGCAGTCCAATCAGCCCATACCAAAACAGGTTTCACATGTCACTCCCATTTATATTTCCTTTTCAAAAGTATTGATTAAATAACCCACAAAATAAATAAAGAAATTGATTGTTAATTATTGTAGTAGTTTATTGTGCAAGTTGGTTAAGTATTCTGATTTGCTGCAGGGATATTCCCCACTATGTAATTAAAGAAATAAGAACTCAATTATTAATTCTAAAATACAGTCTAAAGTGTTACTTCGAACCAAATTTGTTTGGTTTGAGAGATCTATAACGTTTTATACCTGTAATATATTTGGAATGAATAGTCTCAGTATATCATAACGCATAGTACTCTTTCAGATGAAATTACGTCTTTTTAATTACTGTCACTAAGCTCTTCTCCTACGTGGGAGGTTGTGAGTTCGAGCCTCAGTGAAGATGGACTATTGGCTAGCTCTTTGTACTCCAGTAGGTTGAGAAAGTGGTAGTGGGGGTGGACTATTGGATTTTTGTGCTTCAGTAGGTTGAGAAAGTGGTTGTGGACTATTGGCTCTATTGGCTCTTTGTGCTTCAACAGGTTGAGAAAATGATTATGAACAGATACTACATTGTAACAGAGTTAGTAGTCCTAAAAAAAAAGTCGTTTTAACTAAGATATTTGTAATCATTATTATTTTTTTTTTTGAATGCGTAATCATTATTATTTAGTTTCGCTTGATTTTTTTTTTTAAAAAAAATTATAATATGTACCATCATGACAAATTAAAATTCAAGAGGAACAGTAAAAGATGTGCTCAAGTTGGTAGAACATAATTCTTGTATGTGAAGATTTTTCTTGTGCAACCTAACCTTTCTATATACTTTGTGAGCTATTACATAGTAGTGAATTTCCCCCCATACATACACTATAGTAGTACCTATGAGTTACGTTATCTCATTACCTAAAAACTAAAGAGGAATGTTCCATACAAATAAAACAAAATTATATATATAAGTGTACATTTTTGTGACTTAGATCAGAGTTTACAATTTTGTACTTTTGAGTGTACAATTTTGATGTTCGAATGCACATTTTAGTGCCTTTGAGTGTGCAATTTTAACATTTGAGCACACATTTTTATAAATTAGTAGTGTAGATTTTTTAGAGTCGTTGATCTGTACCATATTTACATTTATCCGCATGTTTTACGTAAGTGTCCCTTCACACATGATTTATTTAATTTCATCATACATACATACATACATACATACATACATACATACATATATACATACATACATACATACATACATATATATATATATATATATATATATATATATATATATATATATATATATATATATATATATATATATAGAGAGAGAGAGAGAGAGAGAGAGAGAGTTAAGTTCAGGTGCGGAGTCATCAATAGTTGAACAATTATACACCATCAACGTTAGGAAATACACCACAAAAACACACACAAATTAGGTACGCATCACCAAAAACACATCATTAGATGTGAGTAAAAGCATCATACAATGTTAGGAAATACACAATTAGGGGATGGTGAGTTATATGATGTATTTTTTGGGTGTATTGTGTATTTTTTGTTTTTTTTTTTTTGTTTTTTTTTTTTGTTTTTTTTTTTTGTTTTTTTTGCCTTTCATTGTGGTGTATTCCTTACACTGTTTGTGCATGTTGTTAACACTGTTGGTGTATTTCTGAAACCCGTGCCGCACCGCCGCCCCTGCCTGAGCGCTAATATATATATATATATATATATATATATATATATATAAACACCTCTCACATAAAAATTATGGATAAATCTAAACTTTCCATTTAGAGGATGTGTGTGGCTATGATTTTATTATTTTTATTTTATTTTTTAATTTCGGTAATTTTCATAGCGGTAAATGAAGGTATTATTCACGCTTGTTTTAAATATGTATAGTATTTTATATGGTTGTTGCCTGTTGTGAATAATTTTAGGAAAGAAATTTATGGTAGCTTTGGATTTCTTTGTTAATGTGTACTCTTATTCATCGTTGAAATTCTTTCTCCATCTTGCTTTGAATTTTTCTTTTTCTACGTCTATTTTATTCAATCTCGGACTCAAGTTCATTTTTAAATTTTTTTTAATTGTCTATCGTTTGAGTATAATATTGTCTATATATGTGATTAACATATATATATATATATATATATATATATATATATATATGTGTGTGTGTGTGTGTGTGTGTGTGTGTGTGTGTGTGTGTGTGTGTGTGTGTGTGTGTGTGTGTGTGTGTGTGTGTGTGTGTGTGTGTGTGTGTGTGTGTGTAGTTTTCGCAGGTAATATACTGGTGTGCGTTGTGGCCTCCGTTGGTATGCATTTACATTATATTGTCGGTCATCGCTTCTGGGTTTTCGTCATGTGTGCACCTCATTGTGACCTATTGTGCACTTTGTATTCATGTGATATATATGTGTTTGTACTATAGTACATATGTGTGCGCATTTGCTTGTGGTGGTGCATGATATGTATGTGTGTATATATATGGTTGGGTTTAAATGAGAACAATCTCCTCCTATAAAAAAATAATAATTGATCTCAACCGCCTGACATCAAGGTTAATTAATGGTGAGAGGTTGTAGTAAAAAAAAACATAGGGAACGGTTTTATAATTACTATTTTTCAACAACCTCAACAATTGATCTACTCAAATGGACAGATCATATTAGTCCTCACATTTTTTCAATGAACTTGTTCTTACTCGAACCCTTCTATATAGAAAACGTGATGCACGATTTTTGGTAAGCTAACGAGAGACGCAACATAATCAACATGTTCAATTCTTCTTTGACAATCATTCAATTAACTCTAGAAATTAAGGAACAGTGAACACAAACGTGGTAAATGGGAATTGAGGTACAGTGAACACACAGTTGTAATATTTTCATGTTAGTACAGTGATTAGACTTTGTTTGTAATTTGAAAGTGTTGTATTTGGTATGTTAATACAAAGGGGAGTTATGGATCAAGGTTTTTTTCTCCCGAGTCAAAATCCAAATTGATGGAGCTTGACCAAAATATTGATTAATCGTCTCACAAATTCACAATAGGATATTGAATGTTTTATATAAAAAAGTATTATAATTATAATTTGCTGTGATGACTTACTAAATTAGAGTTATTCATTATTTGGTTTTATAAACATTATCGTTTTGAAAATTTGTTTTTAATGATATTATTAGAATTGACACAAATAATTTGTTTGCTTATAGATCAGAATAGGTGAAGTTTAATAATACCATAATTATGTTGTCTCTATCACTTGATGTTAAAATCATGAAAATTATTATAAGAAACAATAGAAGTACTTGTCAAGTAATGCTTGCACTTATGCTTATATATATTTTTCTATAATTGATGTATATTTATAAAACGAAGAATAGTCAATATTATTTTATTAATTAGGTGGCTTGCATATTTTTCTTGCATAATATGCAAATTCTAAATATTATATAACATATACAAAATATCTATTTATGCAAAAAGCTAAAGTATAACTAGTAACAAATATGTAATACTATTTTTTTTTTTATATCATGCATAAAAGTCAATGTTACATTTTGAATGTGCAACAATAGTGACCTAAGATGTTAGACTATGAGGTGTTTGGTAAATAACTGTTAGTTGTTAGTTGATTGTGTTAGTGGGTTTGAGTAGTTGATAGCATTAGATGATTGTAGAATGATGTTTGGTAAAGTAACTGTTAGCTGATAGCTAATTGCATGCAAAATGACTTTCTCAAAAAATTGATCGAAAATACTGCTTTGAGCAGCTTTTTGAATTTTAGCGTTTTAAAA